TTCAGTTCGAATGATTTATCACACTATATTATGTGTTATAGTATATATCATTTGCATGATGGATGTAGTTGTACTTTAGTGTATTGATTATGCAAGTAGGCCATTATAGTCCTTTGCATGTTGTTTTATTGATTATATGATATGTGGATATAATTTATTTTGATGGCTAGACGACATAGGAGCAGTTAATCATCGTTGACGACTAGACGGACCGAGAGCCGTTAGTCATCATTGATGGCTAGATAGCATGTAAACCTTTGTTTGTATGCATTGTATGTGTATTTTAGTATGTAGTATTTTGGGTAACTCACTAAGCTTTATGATTATAGTTTTTGATTAAATGTTTTAAGGTAGATTTTTTTATCGTGGGAAGGCTCCACCTTGACTGTATTGCACATGCATCGTTACTTATTTTTTTATAGACTTCATCTGTTTTATGATGACTTTATACATTTTGATAATATGGTTTGATGATGTTTAAAACAATTTACTACCTTGATCTTTTATGAAAATGATTTGGATGTTTTACTTATGTTTTCAAAAAAGAATTTTGGTTTGAAATCTACGACGTTACAAATTTGATCTTAAAAACTGATTAACCATGATAATAGTTCAAAATAATCAAATAAACAATATATATATTTTTATCTGCATGTGGAACTCCCGAATAGAAGTTATTGAGATGATATGATTTTATGATATAAATATATTATTGTATATTTAAAATTATTACTTTCTTTTATAAGAATTTAGTGTAACATTTATTATTTCAAGTTAATGACAAAGATATAGTTATTTTTAATAACATATATCTGTCAATACTTTTATTACATTAGTATTATGTGTTTTGCTAAGACATTGACCTTGTTGCTAGAGAAATCAAAATAAGTGTGAACACTATAGAGTAGATAGTGTTTCATTGAGTGTGATTAAAGCAAATCATTATAAAATTTATGTATTCCAATTTTGGAAGAGTGAATTGGTCTAAAGGTATGAAAAGATCTTATTCCAATGATCACTAGTAGTTCGAAATCATAAAAGGTGGAAAAACATGGAGTTTCTTCGTCTTTTATGGTAATCCAGAAATGTTGATCTGATTTTGGTGAACTAGGGGTGAATATGTCGATATCAATAATAGTTAATATAACTCAAATCAATTCGGGTCGATTAAGCACAATCAATTTTGAGGTGAACTGAACCCAATCCAGTTTTCACATGCACCTCAAAATGATATGTATTAGTCTAGTTATTTATTTGTATAGTCATTTATACTTTGTTGTATACTTGAGGGGTGTATATGTATTTTTATTGACTATATATATGAGGTAACCCCCATGCCCTTTGGTGTGGAAAACTCATAATCACATGGTATCAGAGCAAGGTTGCCAACAAAAACAGTTGTATACTGTGGGTTATTCATGGGTGCTTCACTATTACCAAGCTCTTTACCATCTTCTGAAGTTCCATTAGTTAACCCGACTACACTTTTGGAGGAATCTGAAGCTTGTTTTTCATCACTAGTACCAGCACCTTTTGTGGCCTAGTTGCAGCGTATTTGCCTACTCCCAAGCCACTTACCGGTTAAGTCATTTATAGCACTTTGAGCATCCTGTTGATCACGAAAAGAAACAAAGCCAAAACCTCATGAATGACCCGTTTTCTGGTCCCACGTTACCCTTGCATCCGAGAAGCAAGCAAATAGCATAGCATCTGTAACTTCAGGGCTAAGATCACCCACGAATATATTGTAGTGACCTGAGGTATCCTCCCTCTGGCCACTGGCATATCCGCATATGCCCAATTGACTTTAATAGGCTGACCAAATAAATGCCTTCCATTTAAGGATACTATAGCAAGTGCAGCTGATCTATGGTCAAAGTAGTGGATGAATCCATAAGATGACTTATCTTTTATTATGAGTTTGCAGCCTTCAATGGGACCAGTGCTTGCGAAAACCTCTTGAAGAAGTGGTTCAGTAACTTGTTTAAGAATGTTACCCACATACACACTGCGACATGTATTTGGATCAAACCCAGGAGGTAGATTTCCGCTTGGAATTGGCTCAATCTGGGGAGGAGATAAGAGGCCGAGATGATAAAGAGATTGTTGTTGAAGGGGAGCGTGCTGCATCAATGCTTGTTGCTATTGGACTCATGCTTTCAGCTCCGCCGTGCATGTTATTAATCATCTCCCTACGAAGGTGTTATCCATGAAATCACTGTTTGAGGTTTTGTTCGGACGCGTGCCATCTTATGAGAATTTTTGCATTTTTGGGTGTCGGTTCTATCCATATTTACGTGACTATGTGGATCATAAGCTTTCTCCGCGGAGCATACCTTGTGTTTTTGTGGGTTATCACACTCAATATAAAGGTTACTTGTGTCTCGATCCGATTTCGACACGGGTTTTTGTTACCCATCATGCCCGGTTTGATGAAGAGTGCTTCCCGTTTCATGACACCCATACAAATGCTCCTATCAGGTCTTTACCCTTGCACACATTCCTTGGTGATCAGCTCCCTGTCGGTCCCGTCCATGACAATGTTGTCTCGGTCTCTCCAAGTGCTTCATCAAGATCTGCTACCACTGCTCCTTGCACTATGTGTGTTGAACCGGATCCACCGGCTCCCTCGATCCTGACTCCTGCTTCTGAATTCCCTACCTCTGCCTCGCCGGGACCCGAGACCGGTTGCCTTCCGAGTCTGACTCTGAACCGTCTACTGAATTAACTTCTGTTCCCACCTCCGGGTCTGACTCCGAGTCTGGGTTGATGTCTGGTTCCGATCTGCAACCAGGTTCTAAGCCTGATCCGCCTCCTCCCTCGCATCCATTGACCACTCGTGCCAAAGACGAGATTTTTAAGCCACGTTATCATTCTGACTTGGCACATCTAACTTCTCATGGCTTGTTGTCCCAAGTTTTTTTTTTTTTTTTTTTTTTTTTTTTTTTTTTGCAGATATTCCCTCATCCTATGCCACTGCCTTACGTGACCCTACATGGCGTGAAGCAATGTGTTCTGAGATAACGACTCTTCATCATAATCAGACGTGGACTATGATTCCTCGTCCCCTCATGCCAATATTGTGGGTTGTAGGTGGTTGTTTCGTACCAAATATCGGGTCGATGGGATTGTCGAACGTCACAAGGCTCGGCTCGTTGCTCAAGGATTTAGCAAGTTCCGGGACTTGATTTTTCTCACACCTTCAGTACTGTGGTCAAGGAGGCCACCGTTCGTATTGTTCGCTCCCTTGTGATTGTAAATGGGTGGCAGTTGCGTCAACGTGACGTCAATAACGCCTTTTCTACATGGACATTTGGGTGACACTGTTTTTAGGAATCAACCCCCTGGGTTTGTAGATGCTCATTATCCTGATTATGTTTGCAAACTAAATAAAGCTATTTATGGACTTAAGCAGGCTCCTCGTGCGTGGTTTCATCGGCTCAGTTCATTTTTGGTGCAACAAGGTTTTTCCTGCAGTCGTGCGGATCCCTCTCTTTTTGTGTTTCGCCGTGACTCGTGTATTTTGTATTTGTTAGTGTATGTTGATGATTTGATTATCACTGGCTCGGATGATGCTGTTGTGTCATCCTTCATTGCTCGTCTTCATGCCGAATTTCGAATTAAGTATCTTTGGCGGTTGAACTATTTTCTTGGACTTGAGGCTACTCATCATTCCACTGCCTTATTTCTCAGTCAAGCAAAGTATGCTCACGAAATTGTCTCACACGTCGGTCTTCTCGATGCTAAACCTATGCCGACCCCCTTGCTACCAACGCCTCTCTTGTTAGTGATGGTTCTCTTCATGAGGATCCGACTCTCTATCGGTCCTTAGTTGGTGCACTACATTATTTGACGATTACGAGACCGAATATATCTTTCGCTCTTAATCAAGTTAGCCAGTTTCTTGCAGCACCGACGATTGCTCATTTTCAATCTGTTAAACGACTTATTCACTATGTCAAAGGAACCCTCTCATTCGGTCTCACTTTCTCACGACCTCCGACTATCAAGCTTGCTGGTTACTCTGATGCTGATTGGGCTCGCTGCCTTGAGACTCGCCACTCCACCTATGGGTACTCGATATTCCTAGGGAGTAATCTTGTCTCCTGGAGTGCGAAGAAGCAGCCTACTATCTCTCGCTCCAGCTGTGAGTCTGAATATCGAGCCATGGCTAATACGGCTGCAGAGATCATTTGGATCACTCATCTGTTGCAAGAGTTGCATGCTTTGCCCACTGATCACCCCATGTTTCTCTGTGACAATCAAAGTGCATTATTTCTCACCTAGAACTCGGTGGCTTATAAGTATTCTAAGCATATTGATCCTGACTATCATTTTGTTCGGGAGCTTGTCGCTTCAACAAACTAGTCACTATGTTTGTTACTACCAAGCTTCAAGTCGCTGACATGTTCACTAAGAGTCAACCTCGACCACAGTTTGAGCAGTTCCGTCGCATGCTTCGTCTCGATCCACCTCCTCTCGCTTGATGGGGGATATTAGTCTAGTTATTTATTTGTATAGTCATTTATACTTTGTTGTATACTTGAGGGGTGTACATGTATTTTTTATTGACTATATATATGAGGTAACCCCCATGCCCTTTGGTGTGAAAAACTCATAATCACAATATGCAATAAGTAATTATTTGTATTGAGTACATACATTTAGAAATTTGGCCTTCTATTCATATATTGTGTCCTATGTTGTGTCTTGATCAATTCCATGACTATGAACTCAATACAACATATATATGTGAATTAAATAAATGTACTTTGCATACAAGTGTCATTAAAAGTTATAAAGCTCACCTCCCAAATTATAAAAGGGAAACTCATGGTTTAATTTGATAACATGGGAAGATTAGAGGTCCAGTCGTAAAATATATAAACCTTAGGCACTATTCTGCAATTCACCAATTAAGGAAACAGCAAAAGTTTAAAAACTACCTGCCGCTTGTTTTCCCCAATTCATCGATGCTTTAGGTTTATCCATTGCAGTGAAACGAGCTTGGACTTGACTCTGTAGCAAGAAACCCAAAATTTGAATCCGAACCCTAATTCCACTTCGCTTATTTTTGAATTTCAGTTATCTTTCTGGAATTTGGCGGGTTCATGGAATCCCAAGGTAATCCCTTATGAGAAAAGCCCTAATTTCATCTACTGCTTCATTACGAATTTATTTGCTTCGTAAAATTATTCATAATTACGGGTGCATAATAATCATTAGGGCAGAAAACTTCGAACAATCCAAAGGCCATGCTTTCATCTCTTATGAGTAAGAGACAAAAGCTTCAGGAAGAACTTCGTACAATTGAAAAGCAGGTTGGTATATGTATAATTGCTTACTGTTATATCGCATTCAGTTACTACTATACTCGAAATACTCAAAAACGTGAGAATTTTCCTTAAAATCTAAAAGTAATCGGAGATTCAATTGTTTTGAGGTAGAAATCAGAAAAAAAGACTATTAAATACTAAAATCTCTTCCAATTGCTGATGCCTTCAATTGCTGATGAAAATTTCCTTCGTTTTTTGAGCAATCTTTATATGTTGGAATGATTAAGATAGGTGTATGAATTAGAGACAAGCTACTTACAAGAATCAAGCAATTTTGGAAACGTGTGGAAAGGATACGAAGGGTTTCTTTCTTCCTCAAAGAACACCACAAAGTATGTAATCTCATTTTACTTATTTCTTTTAACTTTCAGCTTCATTCATTTGTTACATTTTTTATATTATTGAAAACTATGAGGTGTTGCTTTTACTCTTACTTATTGACCCTAATTTTGATATCATTATATGCAGCTTGAAAAGATCAAGAAAATTCCAACATGAAGATAGACTTTTCTCCCTATCATCAGTTACTTCACCAGCGGTAATTCTATAAATTAATTGAAAATGACATAATTATATTTATTGCATTATACATTCAATTCTATGTCCAATTATTTATTCAGATAATTCATATTTTCAATGTCAGGGGGATTGAATTAACTTTCAAGTGTTTAATGATTGTTTATACAACTTAAAACTCATTAACTAAGGGGTAAATCGGTATATGTGCGTGTAAAAATATTCTTTTGGGATAATTTAAAGGGTTAAATTCTAGAAATAGCAATTTACTTTCATTGTTATCATTTTTTTCTTCTGATTAAAGGTTGGGTTAATCTCATAAAAAGACCTTATATTGTGTGTGTGTGTGTGTTTTTTTTTTTTTTTTTCAGATTAAACCTCAACTTTATTTTTTTCCTGAAAAAGACCTTGCATTTTAGTCATTTTTTTCCGAAAAAAGCTGTAAAATGTGAGGGTTTTTTCGCGAAAACTAAAAAAGTTGAGGATTTATTCGGAAACAGTTAGAAGGTTAAGGGTTTTTTTTTGGAAAAAAAAGACAGTTGAGGGCTTTTTTGGAAAAAATTAAAAAATACAAGGTCTTTTTCAGGAAAAAAAATAAAGATGAGCTTTAATCCGGAAAAAAAAAAACCACAAAATATAAGGTCTTTTATGAGATAAACCCTTAAAGTTTTTACTTTGAGAAGTCTACCTTACTTTCAGTTTGTTTCTTTTTAGGACAAAATATATATGTTCTGTATTATTTATACCTCCATAACTTTTTGGTTATTTAAAATTCATTAGCTTAAAAGACGTTTAGTTTACAAAAAGAAAAAGATTAGAATTTGTTGTACATAATGAAGAAAAAGGAAACAGTTTTAATTTCTATTTCACATGTATATTTTTTTTCAGGCTGAAGAGCTTGGAGCAGGAAGGGAAGGTTAAATATTTTTTATCTTTTTTTTTTAATTAACAATTTTACTCTTTAAAATATCTTCTCTTTTCAAAAAATCTACATTTTATTTTAATCCTCTGTGATTTTGACTGATTTTTATTTTATAATTTGTATTTTTTTTTATTAGAGGGAAGATCAGATTTAGGTCCAGGCAGACCTAAGGGTGGAGGCTTGACTATTAATGGACAGTAAGTACACATTTCCTTTTTTAATTATTTTTGTATAAAAGGGTAAAATTGTCGTTTGGTGGAATGAAAGGGTAAAATTGTCATTTGGTCTCATTCAGATGGTCTGTTCAGTCTTAGAATACAATACTTTATTTATACAAACATCATTACCCATTACCA